ATTTGGAGAAGGAGGTGGAACCAACCTAAGAGCGATGGCCTCCACCCCAGTAGCGATGGCCTCCAACCTAGTAGCGATGCGTAATGGAGTACTAGGTGGCGAGATAAGCCAAAGGTCTGATCCAGTACTACATCGGTCAGCGGCCGTTTAGAAACACATCCTCACAACGTTCCCTTGAAAAGATACCAACCGTTTACATCTGTTTATCACCGAATTTTGGGTCCAACCTTCGCAACTCGCCAACTCGCCCAATCTCTGGCTGTGTCGTTCAATCTCTACCGTCTCGACGGGGCCAGGCTCTCAGCCCAGTGGCTTGCCAGTTCCTCTTTGCTGAGCCGACGGTCCTCTGGCATCCCCACCTCGGAACGGCACTGTGTCATGGATTCGAAACATAGAAACCCGCCGACCCGCCGACGCACGCGGTACTGAAGGCATGCAGAGAGGCTCGGTCGAGAAGCCTTCTCAGTGCTGAAGACCATCGCACGTGACCCGGTAATGAAGACTCTCCGTTCAATCAAGCCCCTCGATTTGGATACGACTTGCGGGCGGTCTGTCTCGCGTGCGCCCACGCCCCCCTTTCCCAGATTTGGATTGTAAAAACCTCCAATTGTTTGGGATTGAAATGCGATCAAGAGTCTACACTACGGAACCCTTCCCCCCATCGACATCAGTCTACTGGGCGCCCAGTAGTTCAGCGGCGAAGCAAAACACTACCTGGTGCGGCACCAGTCAAGTCCCATGTGCCGCCGGCCAGCGGCATGCGGTATTGTTCTTTTGGACGGGCGCTGCATGTCATCCAGATCAAAGCAACACATCACGGTCGCCAAACACATCACGGTCAGATGCGGTCAGACTGGGTCATTTCAATCGATTTCGTCTCTTCCTCGCTTGGACGCGTCGATTTCGCCCAGAAATAACGTCGGGCCAGCTCGACAGGCAAGAATCTGGGGGTCCATGGCCCCATCACCGTGATGCTTAAGCCCAGCAAAATGTATCGCCCATACATTTTAGAAGCAAAAGCATGCCAAAGCTGGAAGCAACAGCCAGCACCAAGGGCGAATCTCAAGTAGGCCTTCGCCAATGCAGCTTTCTGGTTCATTTCATTGAGTGGTAGCCTGACCCCAAAGCGCCAAACTCCCAAGTCAAAGATGAAAAGGTTTGCAGTGCTAGCGCTCAGAATGCCAATGCTCAGCAAGGGTATGAATGGAGTCCAGAAAACCAAGACTTCCATCAGTGTCGTCAGCAGGGACATTTGTTGCAAGGGTTGCAGGGAGCCGCTGGTTCTGGGGCCAAAACCTAGAATTCGAAGCGGCTGCCCCTTCTGCAGGTCTTCTTGGCCTTCCAAGCGTGAAAGCTGCCACAAGAGCAACAACAGAACCGGTTGCAGTGTACTCCTTATCAGCAGTTTGTTCAGTAAAAAGGGTGCCAAGTTTCCCACGATGGCACGACTACAGCGGCCGTCAGACCACCAAGTCTCGTTCCAGCCGCAAATGTCTCTTCTGGTGCTAAGGATCTCTTCGCCATAGATACTCCAATCAAAGCGCTTCTGCTCGATTGCGTCTTGGCAAACACTCCAACTGATTTTCCAGCCTGAAAGACAGTTTTCGTCCAGAAAGACAGTGACCAACAAGGGCAAAAGCCAAGCCGAAAAGAGCCGGAACGTCATCAGCAATCGATCGGCATGCAATCCAGTGAGACTGGAATACTTCATCGAGAGTCGTACCGCTAGGGCCATGTCAATCAAGACTGTCAGTACAGGAGCTGCCTTGTGAAGAAGCTTCAAGAGGTCCTCGCTGATGGCCTCGTTGTGCTGTGCCGGCACAGACTGGACGATGGCGAAGAGGATCGCGGGCAAGGAGAACAATGCAACGATACACACCCATAGAAGCCATGCAAAACTTTTCCAGACTCCCTCCTGCAGTCGTTTGCGTGTGGAACCGTCAGGACAATCGACAGGACCCGTGCAGATTGGACTGCGGGTGGAGGGCATGCTAGCAAAGAGGCTTCGAAAGAGCAAAAGCATGGCACACCAACAGGTGATTACACCAAGCTCCGCCAAAGGCTCTGCTTCGAAGTTGGCCACCGTCGTTTGCCATAAAGGTGGGCTGCATTCCTGGAAAGGTAGCCGGATTGGACGGGTCGGACCAGCACCACATGAACCAACCTCAAACAACAGTGAATCCACCTACCACTGACCACAAGACACTGGTTTCGGCTGTGGGTCAAAACTGGAAACCTTGGGTGAGCACCGAAAAGGAACAGAATAGATTACGAGGAGGTGAACTCAGGGTTTGGGGCTCCGGGAATTTGACTCGCAGCCCATTCAAAAGAGGTCCAAGTCAGTGTGTGTCACACAAAGAAACAAATTACAGACCAGAAAATCACTGGCCCATCTGGGACTCGTAGTAATTGCCTTGGCTCCAAAAGAGCAACAGCAGCGGGCCTGCCAGCACCACGGTGCTGCGTGCAGCTTTGAGCCTCGATGACTCACCGCTGCCACGGTGTGACCCGACGGCTCGACACGTGGAGTCGACCGCGGGCACGGAGTCGACCGACGGCTGAAGGGCTTAGGTGGAAAATGCACGATGACGATGTCGATTTTCCTTTCAAGAAAAGGTGCCATGTTCAGACTTGACCCTCAACCCGGAGCGTGCCAATCCCGTCTAGATCCAATCCCGGCCGCAAGGCCCAGTTGGAGGCGGCCACTCGAGCAGTGCTGCCCACGTCCAAATTCCGCAGCGTCGCTTCCAGACGGCGCCCGGCGCAGGGGACGGCACGCAGCCGCCAAGATCAGCAACATCAGAAAACCTGAGGGAGATGGGTCAAACATGTCAAACTGGCTTCCCCACCATCTTCCACCTATAGGTCAGAATTTGGCCCTGGATGCGTGAGAGATGTTCGACTTGGCAATTCTTGGACCTGGATTGCAGTGACATGTTAGTTCGCTGGTCTTTGCCTGAGGCTTTCCAGAAGCAAGCAAGACGTGGAGATTTGGGTCCCTGCCTGCAAGGATAGATACGTTGGATCTCCAAACCACATGCGAGTAATACAGGAAGGATTGCTTCTCTTCCTTCGATTGGTTCCAACCCGGAACCAAAAAAATCCTGCCAGGGATTCACCCAGTTCGGGAAAAATAAATTCTCCCTAAAGCAAAACCAGGGCTTCTTTCAGGATCCAAGATGAATTCAACTCGCTCCCCAAGCCCAGCATGTTGCCCATCACCACCAGGCCGGTCACGTTGACCCGGCTGATGCTTTCAGGCACTTCACAAGAGAAGCGGTTTCGGTGCAGAGTCAGATTGGCCGTGCCATGGGCGGTGATGCATCCATCATTGAGGGTTGGGCAGTTCGCATCAATTTGCTTGCTCAACTCTTTTCGCACTTTGAAGATGGGCAAAAGGCGATACAGGAACCCAAGCTGAGAACAGCTCAAGGCCCCATGTCGGAACCTTGCATTGTCCATGCAAGGACCAGTCAAGCTTAGGTTGCTGATGCTTCCTCCGATGAAGTTTTGGTGCAGGGTCAAGACACCAAGGTGCCTGAAGGCATGTCTCGTTTCAGACTGACCACTGCGAGAATAAGAAAAAACTTTGATTTCAGGGGGTAAATACAAGCAGTTTATCACCTGGCAATTCCGGCAGCATGCATCAGTTGCAACACGCCCTGCCTCAGCATGTGCAAGTTCTGTGGAAGGACTCCTGAGAGTTCGTTCTTATGCAACGCGAGAATCACCAACTCGGGTGCAGTCACCTCTGGGAGAGCTCCTGACAAACGATTATTGTTTAGAGCCAGAAAGTTCAAGCGCCGGAATTGCATCAAGCATGATGGCACTTCACCAGTGAAGTCGTTGTGATTGAGACGAAGTTCTTGCAAGGATCCACCCTTCGGGCTGATGTGGCAAAAGATCCCCGCAAGTTCTGAAAGGCCGCCATGAAAGTTGTTGTGGCTCAAATCCAAATATTGAAGCTTTCTGAAAGACTCGTGAAGCTTTCCATTCATGAACTGAAAAGATCCCGTGAAGGCATTGTGGCTGAGATCCAAGACCTCCAACACGGGCTTCGCGTTCCACACCAGCGAGATCTCCTTGGATTAAGAAAAGAAACACAAAGAAAAAGAAAAGAAGACGATGTCTTTCGGCAGGAATTCACCCTTTTGGGGAAAATAACAAGATCACCCTGACTCGGCAGAAACAGGTCTCTCGGGTGCTTCCCCGCAAGTGGTTTCGGTGCAGTAGCAGCCGGACCAGCTGTGTAAGCTCACCCAGTTCAATCGGAAGGTCACCGCTGAGGACATTCTCGTGGAGGCTCAGAATCCGCAAGGCCTGATCGAGCGGCAAAAGAAAACATCCCTTTGTTACTATGGTAGCTATGCACTTGTTACTAGTATAGCTAGTAGTAATGCCCTTCTTGTTACTAGTTACTAGTAGCAATGCACACGAACATTAACTTGTTACAATATTACAGAATCTGGACGCTGATTTGTTGATCTACAAAAGGTCCAACATGTTACACTTCAATCACATTCAACAAACTCGCAAGTCACCTCGACTTGATGTGATTGACTGGACATGGGAAAACTCGACTGGTGGCTATAGTGGGTCTTCAGGTCTGACCGAGTCCTTTCTCAGCACTTGGACTCGATTCTGAGTGGTTCGTGCGAGTACTTCAAAAAGTGGCCTGTGACCTGTGAATCTTTCCCCAAAAATGTTGCAAACGTTTCGCAATACAGCCGATGAATGAAAAAACATGATGAAGACCCGCTAGCCTACCAGATTGGCTTTGGATCTCCCAGGGGCGTTGTTCATCAACCGTCTACAGTGGGCATCACGTCTGTCATGTGGCCACGATTTTTCACCCCTGTGGACCCATCGAAAACCTGGGCACCCCGACCGCCGTACCCATTCGACAATTTAGAAACATGGTTCATTTGGTGGTGTGCTGTAAATCAATACTGGGGCCCGGGACTTTTTCGTGAATTTGTGGTCCCTGTGCACCTTCAGCTGCCCAATCTCTCGTGGGATACATCCAGTGAGCCGATTCTGACCAAGCTGAAGATATTTAAGATGCTTCAGCTGTCCCAGCTCCTCCGGCTTGGCACGCGTGTGCGAAAGGCGCCAAGGTGCGGAGAAGGGGTCGCGCGTGTGTGTGTGTGTGTGTGTGCGTGTGTGTGAAGCCCAGGGAATCCTTCGATTGTGCACTTTTCCTTTGAATTTCTGTTAGCAGGGGACCATCGATGTACTGTGCGCGATGGTCCAACGAAGCGGCCACAGTACATGCGGATATCACGGCTGATCACCGTGACGTACCTACTTCATTTGTGAATGTTGATAGCTACATCCCACTCTACTTTCAGGCTGTTTAGGTGGACGTAGTTCGGCAGACTTTGCAGGTTACCGTCGTTCTTGTCGCTCGGTCGCCTTCGCTTTGAGACATGGCTTCAATTTGGTTGGACTCCACTCCATTTACACCTCAGGTCTTTGTTTACCTGGCCTCTTAGGATTATGGTTGCCGTGTGGGGAGCAGCATTCAGGTCAGTACTCATTATCTTGAGTGTGTGTGTGTGTGTCACACTCTGTCCCTAAGAGTTAGTTTCTTCCACCTTGCAAGCAGGGGAGTGGTGCGCGGTCTTGGAGTCACCACTCAACGGAGACACTCCTTGCACCGTGGTGATATTTGGAAAGGACGCTTTCCAGACGTACCTGCTGTCAACGTTTGATCAAGCTGTTCCACTCTCGGTTTGTTTCCATGGTGGCTGGTCACGATACTTTCCTCAAACACTTTCCTTCAGCAGCTTTCTGCAGCTTTCCACTGTCGAGTCGTCGAGTGCTTTCACAGTCAAGCGAAGCCGCCACTGTTGTTAAACTTTCCAAGTGAGCTGACTTCACCACCTTGCGTTTCCAGCGTCCATTTTCCCGAGGAATAGAGTTAACTGCAAACCCATTGTCTAAGTGTGCGCCGCTCTGTCGTCCCACTGGCACCACTGGGTGCAGAGTGTGATCCCCGTCACTGGGGCGCTGAGACCTTTCCGGACTACCGTGTAACTGATTTCACGTTTCCTGCATGCTTTGGATTATGGTTCTGGAATCACACGTTTCACCCATGAATTTCCAGATTCACACGCTGCCGAGCTACGGAGTTTTCGCACCGCCGGGTTTCACGGAGATTCGACCACCGCCGGGTTTACGGTCACACATATTTGTGTCACACACACCCACCCCCCCCCACCTTGCACCCGAATTCGCAATTTTATCCCAATCTAGGGTAACAGAAGGAAATGGTACTCGACACACTGGCACCGACACACGTGCTTTTGATTCACGCGGCTAAGTATTCAGTGACTAGCAGGTTTCGTAACTAGTGGGCCTCGTAACTACACCTATTTTTCTCTCTTGCCCTTGCGTTTCCCTTTCTGTCTTTTCTTCTTATTAAGGCTTTTTAGGCGGTTAACAATTTCCTCCGGAGCACCGATATCGGCGCTCTGTGTGTGTGTCACACTCTGTCCCTAAGAGTTAGTTTCTTCCACCTTGCAAGCAGGGGAGTGGTGCGCGGTCTTGGAGTCACCACTCAACGAAGACACTCCTTGCAGTGGTGATATCTGGAAAGGACGCTTTCCAGACGTACCTGCTTTCAACGCTTGATCAAGCTGTTCCACTCTCGGTTTGTTTCCATGGTGGCTGGTCACGATACTCTCCCCCAAACACTTTCCTTCAGCAGCTTTCTGCAGCTTTCCACCGTCGAGTGCTTTCACAGTCAAGCGAAGCCGCCACTGTTGTTAAACTTTCCAAGTGAGCTGACTTCACCACCTTGCGTTTCCATCGTCCATTTCCTGAGGAACAGAGTTAACTGCAAACCCATTGTCTAAGTTTGATCATCTATCTATCTATCCATCTATCTATCCATCCATCTATCCATCCAACCATCTATCCACCTATCCATCCATCTATCTATCCATCTATCTAATCCATCTATCTAATCTATCTATCTATCTATCTAACCTATCTATCTAATATATCTATCTAATTCCT